AGAGAGCGGCCTGGTTAGTGTCCCTCAGGCCTTCCCACGGGATCTTCCTCAGAGCAAGTAAAGAGCCCTTGATGGGATCATGTCTGCTGTGCTGAGAGACCCAGTGTGCAGGCCGCAGGGCAGGGAGCAGAAAGCAGGGAGTGCCTTGCAGGTAGTGAGCAGAGAAGGGGCTGAGAGGCAGTGAGGGTCAGTGTTCTGAAAGGGGCTGAGGTGAGAGTGGGACTGACCTGAGACTGGACTGCAGGAGGGCGTGGCTCACAATGAAGTGCACCTTCTCCAGGTTGGACATGGGTCGGTCAGAGAGGGAGCCCTCAGACTCAAATGCCTCCTCTCCAATATTCAGTTGGCTCGCCACCTGGAAATCAAAGAGGGCATCGGGACAGCTGTCACTCTCCCATGGTGAGGGAGGGGCCGGGGCTCGAGGGGGCTGGAGAAGCAGAGCCTGGGATCCTGTGGGTGCAGAGCTGGGAGCCCGGCCCTGGGCGCACCTGGCCCGTGATCTGGGAGGAGCGCTTCAGCTTCATGGAGGAGATGTCCTTGGTCCTTCTGTCCCTGAGGCTGGGCCTCTGTGCAGGGAGAGCGTCTGTGAGTGAAGTGAGCTGGGCAGCACCTCAGGCAGCTCCTGACCTGACAGCCACCTAGAGGCCCAGTGCACAAATTCGTGCCACTGGGGGTGGGGGTTGTCCCTCAGCCCATCCCTCTTACAATCCAGGACTGATGGCTCCCAACTGCTTGCCTGCCTGATAGCCCCTAACCGCTTCTGCCTGCCAGCCTGATCACCCCTAACCATTCCCTAGCCAGCCTGATCAACGTCTATCTGCTCCCCTGCCGGCCTGGTCACCCCTAACTACCCTCCCCTGCAGTCCTGGTCGCCCCTAACTGCCCTCCCCTACCAGCCTGGTCACCCCTACCTGCCCTCCCCTGCAGGCCCGATTGCCCCCAACTACCCTCCCTTTCAGGCCTGGTCCCTCCCAACTGCCTCCCCCTGGAGGCCTGATCGCCCACAACTGCCCTTCCCTGCCGGCCATCTTGTGTCCACATGGGGCGGCCATCTTGTGTGTTGGAGTGATGGTCAATTTGCATATTACTCCTTTGTTAGATAAGAGATATATATATAAAATACTAGAGGCCTGGTGCACGATATATTTGCACTGGAGGTGGGGGGGCCCCTCAGCCTGGCCTAGACCCTTTCTCAGTCTGGGAGCCCTTGTGAGATGTTTGACTGATGGCTTAGGGAGCTGGCCTAAGCCGCAGTGGGACATCCTTAGCACTGAGGTGGAGGCGTCAGCCTGGCTTGTGGCTGAGCTCTCTGTGGGAGTGCACTGACCACTAGGGGGCAGCTCCTGCGTTGAGCATCTGCTGAAAACTACAAAACATTGGTGAAAGAAATCAAAGAAGATTCAAATACATAGAGCTCATGGGCTGGGAGACTCAGCAGAGTAGAGATGTCAATTCTCCTCAAACTGATATACAACAGAACTCCCATCAGTATACCAGCAAGGTAACTTTTGTGGAGACGGGCAAGATTATTCTAAGCCAGTGGTGGCGCACTTTTTGAGCTCGGCGTGTCAGCATTTTGAAAAACCCTAACTTAAAAACAAAGATTTATATTTTTGATATTTATTTTATATATTTAAATGCCATTTAACAAAGAAAAATCAACCAAAAGAATGAGTTCGCACGTCACCTGTGACACGCGTGTCATAGGTTCGCCATCACTGTTCTAAGCTGTATATGGATAGGCAAGGGACCTAGAATAGCAAAATCAATTTTGAAAGAGAATAATAGGCAGGAGGAGTCAGTGTGCGCAGCTTCAAGACAGTGTATGCCTACAGCCGAGAGGACAGCATGGCGTTGGCAGAGGGAGGCACATCGACCCATAGAAGAGAAGAGAGACACAGAAATAAACCCACAGATTTGCACCACCGCTTCTTGACAGAAGTGCAAAATCAATTCATTGAATGAAGAATGGACTTTTAAATGAAAACGTGAGGTCTGACTGGGACACCAGCCTGCCGCGTTCCCAGGCCGTGGCGGGACTGCCCAGGTCGCCCCCAGGGCGCCAGCCCCACAGGCGGCCCAGGGACTCTGGCCTCCTGCCCTCCTGCCGCCCATGGTGTGTGACTTCCAAGACCAGGCACCCAGCTGCCTTCGGGCTGCCTCTCACATCACTGTCTGGGGAGGAAGCCCTAGGTGGCAGCACCAGGAGCTTGGGGCGGTCTGGGTGGCAAGGAACCGAGGCTCCTGCCAACAGCCATGGGGTGGGGGGGTGGGGAGGGAGGCTTCTGGGAAGCAGCTCCGCAGCCCAGTGATGCCTGGAGAGGAGGCAGCCCTGTCCACACGACGCAGCCTCAGGAGAGACTCGCGCAGACCTGCCTCGCTCACCGCCTGGTCCTCAGAAAGTGAGATAAGGGTCTGTCCCAGGCTGCTGGCTTTGGGGGGCTGTGTTATAATGATAGGTCATGGGGACACTGCACAGCCCACGCCTGGGCAACCTCCCTGTACTCCAGGCCCCTCTGGCCATGGCGCCCTGGGCTGCAGGTCCCCCTAGCGCTCTCTGCAGTCTGCACCAGGACTTGACCATGGGCAGCGTGGGCTCCTGCCACCGGCGGGCTGCGAGCTGTGGCTGCTGGGTAATTCCTGTGGCTGGTCTGGGTGGTTCATCTCAGATGACATCACGGAATTAGGCTTTAGGGAGGACTCTGTCAGTTCGCCTTCCGTCAGGGGGCGGTGGCGCGCTGGCCGAGAGCTTGGTCGCGAGCGCACTAAACCCAGCTCTGCCCCCCCCCTGCCCCACTATTCCCTGCGATTTGGCAGCGGCTCACTTCCCTGCTCAGCTCTTTGCTAAGTAAACATGTAACCCCTGCCTTGCAGGCCTGGCGCCTGAGAACTGGCTGGAGAGAAGCAGCTGGCACACAGCACGGCACGCTGCCAGTCGGGGACATCTGTTATCGCTGTTACATGCGTTCGCGTCCTGTTTGAGTGGAACCCAAGGACCGGAGCCTGGGACCCGCCCCGGCAATGACCGCGGGGCTTAAGGGTGAGCCGATGGGGGGCTCTGTGCCTTGCCTCCCCGGGGCCGCGGGCTGGTGGGTGCCTGGAGGGTGTCTGCCCTTTGCAGCCACCACCCTCACCCATGTACCTGTGCAGATCCGTGCTGTGGAGGCCGGGCGCTGCCCTCTCTGCCCGCGGCGTCCTGGGCCGGCCGCGTCCTGGCGAAGAGCACGGGCTCGGGGAGGTCGCCCATGAACCTCAGGATAGGCCCTGCCCCTGCTCGTTGCTCTGAACCACAGCGCAGGCTGAGGCCACGGGCCCCGAGCCGCCGGAGCAGAGCGCTGTTTACCGAGCAGTCGGCGTCATCCTCGTGGTAGAGCAGCGGGTACCGCAGGGGCTTCCGCATGTGCGTGTGGCTGGCCGACTTCTGGAAGTAGGTTGCCGCGAACTTGGGGAAGCTGTACTCGGCCAGGCCGTCCCTGTCGTCCTCGGGCTCATCCAGCGCGGGGACGGCGTCCAGGTCCACCTCGGGCAGCTGCTGAGTCTTTGTTTCCAAGTCCTGGGGACCAGGAGGGGAGGGGCCAGCATCAGCCTTCCTCTCTGAGCTGTGCTTTCCGAGGCGGCATCTCAGGCCAGGGAGCCCCGAGAAGGTGTGCCTGGCCGGGCACCCGTGCAGAGCCATGTGCCGCTCCCCACTGCCCCTGTGTCTGAGACCTCCCCACCCCACCCCGGTGGCCCCTGGTGTGAGGCGCCTCGGTGTGAACGCGGCCACCGGAGAGCCCTCCGAGGCTGCCTGCAGAGCTGGCCTCTAGACCAGCGGTCGCCAGCCAGTGTGACGCGGACCACTGGCGGTCCGTGAGGTCCGAATGGTTGGCGGCCGCTGCTCTGGACACTCCCGCTCCTCGTCCTCCACCTGCCCTCAGTCTGGTGTCCTCTGTGAGAGGTCCCAGCTGCCCGGCTGATCAGATGGGGTGTGTCTGTACGGTGTGCCCGTGTGCATGTGTGTGCATGTGCGTGGTGGGGGCAGGCATGAGTGGGGGGTGCCTAGGTTGTGAGCAGGCGTGGTGCGCAGCAGGACCGCCTGGGAGCTGCTGGCCTCCCGCCCTGCACTGCCCCTCAGACACGCTTCCTCCGAGCCGAGTCCCAGCCTCAGGTCCCAGCCACACTGCAGAGCACAGCACCAGGGCTCTGAGAGAAGGGGTCGGCCTCAGGGGAGAGCTGCGTGTGCATATGAAAGGCTCCAGGAAGTAAGACACTGGCAGGTAAGAGCCTGCTTACCTGGGAAGTGTGGAACCTGGAGCCCCGTTCTCCCCTTTCTCTGCACATCCACCCGGGACCACAGAGCACACTCCTGCTCCCACCCGCCAGCTCCCTGCTGAGTCTGCTTCTCAGTGAGCCCAGAGATCACAGGTCTGGACTGTGTGGGCCTGGCCCGGCCCATCTTACCTCAAAGCGGGAGGGGGCCTGGCCCTCCTGCCCCCCGATCATGGATGGGAGGAAGCCAAACACTTGCTCCACCATCTGGGTGTCGGTGACGGTGTCATAGATTGACTTGCGCTTCCTGGCGGCTGGAGCCCTGGGGCCCGGCTGCTGGTTGGTGGTGGCCGGCAGCCCCTGCGTGCACACCAGGGGGAGGTTAGCACAGGCTCTGCTGGGCAAGCGCCTTAAGAAGCCAAATCCCCTGCTCCTGCCATCATCTACCCAAGCCCGTGATGTTCCTCTCGAGTCCTAGACGTCCACAGCTGGTGACTGGGTGGGCCGGGCTCCCTGGCCCTGTGGAGGGGCAGGTCCAGAGACAGAGGTTGCTGTTGGTCCCTGACCCACAGGCTCCCCGAGGCACCACCTCAAATCCAGGGCCTCCGAACCTTGCTTCAACCCGAGGCTCAAGCCTACCTGGTCTTTGTTCAGAGAGCACCCAGCCGCTGCCAGGCGAGCTGGTTTGTGCCTGCCAGGCTGCCTGGAGCGGACGCAGGCTGCGCCTACCTGAGGGTGCATGCCCTTCCTTGCCCTGGGCACTGGAATAGCGATTTGCTCAGGGTGCCTATTTCCATCTTAACCCCCTTCTTCTCAGCATCCAGCAGATGGAGGCTTGGTCTCAGGTGCCCGCTGGGGCAAATGGGAGCAGGTACTACTGCCCCGCTCCCCGCCCACCAGCCTCTCCTGCCCAGACACTCCGAGCTTCTCTTGGCATTTCTCGGCCCTGGGCTGTCATGCCATGGCACCGTAACCAGGAACTGGGGCCTCCCCAGCTCACCGCACCGTCCAGATGACCATAGCCCTGCTGGGAAGATCCCCAAGGCTAAACAGAGGGGCTGGGGCTCGGTCTCCAGGTTCTAGTAGAAGCCTGTCCTGCTGCCTGACCCAGGGGTGTCCTGACCCAGGGGGTGTCCTGACCCGGGGGGTGTCCTGACCCAGGGGGTGTCCTGACTGGAGGGGTGCCCTGATGGGGGGCGGGGGAAGTATCCTAACCTGGGGGGTGTCCTGACCCCGGGGGGTGTCCTGACCGGAGGGGTGTCCTGACCGGGGGGGGGGTGTCCTGACCCGTGGTGTGTCCTGACCCAGAGGTGTGTCCTGACCCAGGGGGGGTGTCCTGACCTGGGGGGTGTCCTGACCCGGGGGGGTGTCCTGACACAGGGGGTGTCCTGACCGGGGGCGGGTGTTCTGACCCAGGGTGGGGTGGCACGAAGGCCAGCTGTAGTTATCTCTGAACAGGGAGGGGGCAGGACTGTCTGATGAGGGGCCAACATTGCTGCTCACTCCTCCCGCCTGTCCTCCCCACGGGCCCAGCCGTCCCCACCTGCTCACAAAGGCAGTGACCACCTACATTGGCTTTCTGCTGCCGAAAGTTCCGTCGGGCGGCCATACCCCTGGCGTGTGCCTGGATGACCACCACGGCCCTCCTCCGGGCCTGGACCTGCTGGCGCACCAGGTAGCCCCTGCAGCTTTTGTCGCGCGCGGCGGCCTCTCCACGCTGCCTGCAGGCTCACGGCGGCCTGCCGCTGCTGCAGAAACTCCCGCCTAGAAGGAGACTGCAGGTCAGAGGTGCGCACAGCTCAGACCTGTGTAAGTCTGTGGGTAAAAACTGGTTTTTTTGTTGTTGGTTTTTTAAAAATATATTTTATTGATTTTTTACAGAGAGGAAGGGAGAGGGATAGAGAGTTGGAAACATCGATGAGAGAGAAACATCGATCAGCTGCTTCCTGCACACTCCCCACTGAGTATGTGCCTGCAACCAAGGTACATGCCCTTGACTGGAATTGAACCTGGGACCCCTGAGTCCTCAGGCCGACGCTCTATCCATTGAGCCAAACCGGTTAGGTTAAAAACTGGTTTTGAATGGAAGATGTCTAAGGAACTGCTGGGGAAGATAAACCCACACAATAATCCTCTCTGTAAGCCAAGAGCAGGGCAGGACTTAGAGCCACTGCCCGTAACTGCCATTGTTGTTGAGGGCAGTCCACCTTTTAGAATAATCCAGAACATCCCCCGTCCTCACCCACCCCAGATCTATGAGGGGATAAAACGCGTGGCCAATGCTTTATTCCTGCGAAATGCTCCCTCTCCCTCCCCTGCTCACTGAGTCAGGCTCAGCCAGCAAGCAGCCCAGTGTCAAGGCCCCACCACCACCCCCCCCCCGGCCTCTGGGGGACACCCTGGGGGAACCTGCACACACAGATGTATCTTTTATCTCACACTTAACTTTGTTTTCTTATCACTTCTGATAATGTTAGGGTATTTTCTTGGGTTTAGAACAGCAGATCTCAAACATTTAAAATCATCTGCGGGGGCCGGGGGGAGGGGGGGCGGTTACGGACTTCCAGGTCGCAGAGGAGTGTTAGGGATGGAACTAACGCACAGCAGGACCTGCAGCAACACTGTACCTGGTATATGTGAGTCGTTAAGAGTCAGTCCTCAGTTCTTATCACAAGGAAAAAATTTATTTCTATTTTTCAAATTTATACGAAATGGTGGATATTAATTACATGTACTGTGGTACTCATTTCCTGACATATCACTCACAAGTCCTCCATGTCAATTATATCTCAATAAAATGGGAGGGGGATAAGAAAATACCATCTGGAGAACCTCAATACTTACTGATGTCTGTGGCCCACCCAGTCTAATTAAGTCTGAATTGTGGTTGAATATATGCATACTATGTAATATTTTGGTGCATGTATATACACAGATGATTCTAATATGAGGTCAAAGTAAACAACTGAATTATCTAAAAATAACCCGTCTCCTTCCCACTATGGCAGTGGGTTTTGGCTGCGTGATGGGCTGGGACAGGTGCTGCCAGCATCTGAGTGGAGACCGGGATGCTGCTCAACGCCCAGGACAGCCCACAACAGAAAGCTACACTCCGAAGTGTCAACAGTGTTGGGTGTAAGAACTCTGGTTTCTGCCTTTTTAAAGTCTCTTCTCTGGTTGTATTGGCCATAACAACAATAACTCCGCCCATCACCAATGGGTCACGTCTGAGAGAAGGAGGAGGCACACCTTTGCCTATCACTCCTCCTGACTACATCTGAAAGCGCTGGACAGTACATAGAAAGCAAACAGAAGAAGACTTTGAGAAGGGAAGATGTAGACCAGCTAGGGACTTCAGAGTCAAGGAAGAATATAAGAGGTAACTTTTGGGGGTTTTCTTTCTGCCTCACATACCCCAGACCAGGAGCTGAAGAAGTCAGCAATCCAGAAATGGCAATGGCAGAGCGGAAAGCCCCAAGGTGAGCCTTTGTTCTCTACCAAAAAGGTCCCGAAAGAAGCAGGTCAGCAAGACAGGAAGCAGTCAGGTAACAGCCGTATACCCCAGGGAAGCACCACAGAAACAGCTGTGGTGCCCGCACCAGAGAGTGCCCGCACCAGAGAGTGCCCGCACCGGAGAGTGCCCAAGGGAGCCGAGGCCGTCACCCTCACCAGCGCCTGTCCGAGAAGGCTGAGTAGGAGCCATCCTTGTGTGCCACAATGATCTCCCCCACAGTGTCAGTGAAAACCACTGGGGGACCTCATTCCCCACCACCATGTGGCAGTAATGGGGACCCCTCTCCCTCCATGTGGGAGCGGTGTCAGAGAAGACCCAGTGGAGAATCAGGCTCCATCTCCTTCAGCAGTAACAAGGCTGCTCCTTTCCCTATGGGATAGGTGGAGGCTGCACTGGGGGCAGTAATGAGGCACTTATGTCCTCTCAGCCAGAGTGGTGTCAGTGGACGCCCTGTGGGCAGCTAGGACTCTGCTCCCAGCCAGCAGCAGTCCCTGGAGGCTCTTGGAGGACTTGGATCTCACCCTATTAGACAGCAAACTGGTGTCACCCACTTCCCCTGCCAGAACGGTGTCAGAGGAAGATAGCTAAAAGTGTGTATCTAAACAAGACACATAATTCTTATAACATAATACCCAAAATGTCAAAACCCAGGGAAATATCAACTTGAATGAGAAAAGACCCTCAACAGAGACCAACACTGAGATGACAGAGGTATTAGCCATTATAAAAAATGCCCAACAATGCTCACTTGAAACTAATGATAAAATAGAAAGTCTCAGGAAAGAAACAGGAGAAATAAAGTAGAACCAAATTGAAATTTTAGAGTTAAAAATACCACAATGAGTAAAATGAACCTCAGCACACAATGGAAAGAACAGAGGAAAGAGTCAGTGAGCTTGAAGATATAGCAGTAGAAATTATACATCCTGAAAAATAGAGGAAATCAACGGAAAGAGAAGGAACAGAGCATCAGGCACCCGTGGAACTGTAACAAAAGACCTAATATTTGTGTCGTTGGAGTCCCGGAAGGAAAAAAGAAAGAGGCATTGCTGGAAAAGTGCTAGAAGTAATAATAGCCAAAAAGTTCATAAATTTAGCAAGAGCTATAAACCTACAGATTCAAGAAACTGAGCAAACTCCAAACAGGATAAGTGCAAATTCCGAAGGAGAGGAGAGGAGCGGGAGAAAGGGACAGAGAGCCTCTTTAACAGCTTGGCCTTTCCCTGGCATCTCCAAGCCCAGCACAAAGCAGATTGCTCTGTAGCTCCTGCGGGGTGGCCCAGGCAGGGTACAGGCAGCTGTTGACCTGAAACTACATCTCCTGGGAGGCCCCAGAGCCAGCTCACCCAGAAGACAGCTTCTCCAGAGCCTCACCCAACCTCCTCCACGAGTGAGAAAGAGAGAGAGAGAGAGAAACATCAATGATTGATCAGCTGCTTCCTAAACGCCCCTTACTGGGGATCGAGCCCACAACCTTGATCAGAACCTTTAATCCACAGGCTGATGCTCTATCCACTGAGGCACACAAGCTAGGGCCATGGGTGTCATACTTCTAAGACAGACTCACTGGGCACCAGAGCCCTGCTAAAGTGAGTCCTGCTCTACAGGGTCAGCCCCTGCACAGCAGATCCTCTGCTGTGGTTGTGGCCAGTCCTTGCAGCCAGTCAGCCTGGGAGTAAATACCTCCCTTAACATGCCAACAGCATTCAAGGCTCAATTGTAACAGATGGGTGCAAATAGCCCACCCGGAGTGCCCAGCTTGAGTGACCAAGGAGGCTGCATCACTGGGCCTACAGAACACCACAAGGCCACTCTACCAAGACCAGGAGACATAGCAGCTCTACCTAATACATAGAAACAAACTCAGAGAGTCTGCCAAAATGAGGAGACAAAGAAACATGTTCCAAATGGAAAAACAGAACAAAACTTCAGGAAAAAAAACTAAACAAAATGGAGACAAGCAATCTATCAGATGCAGAGTTCAAAACACTGGTTATAAGGATACTCAATGAACTTAGGGGAAGAGTAACTAGTGAGAACTTCCATAAAGAGATAGGAAACATAAGAATGGAGATAGAAAACATAAAAGAGAGCCAGCCAGAAAAGAAGACTATAATAACTAAAATAAAGAATGCATAAAAGGAGTCAATAGTAGAATCAATAAATCAGAGAATCAAATCAGTAATTAGGAAGATAAGGAAGCAGAAAACACCCAATCAGAATAGCAAAAATCAAAAGGAAGCCAGCCCAGCCAGTGTGGCTCAGTGGTTGAGCATCGACTTATGAACCAGGAGGACATGGTTGGATTACCAGTTAGGTCACATGCCCGGGTTGCAGGCTTGATCCCCAGGGTGGGGTGTGCAGGAGTCAGCCAATCAATGATTCTCTCTCATCATTGATGTTTCTATCTCTCTCTCCCTCTCCCTTCCTCTCTGAAATCAATAAAAATATACTTAAAAAAGAAAAAAGAACCCCCAAAATTCAGGCTAGAATAAGGAGTTTCTGGAACAACCTCAAGTGTACCAACATTCACATCATGGAGTGCCAGAAGGAGAAGAGAGTAAGAAATTGAAAACCTATTTGAAAAAATAATGGTGAAAAACTTCACTAACCTGGTGAAGAAAAAAGACATATAAGTCCAGGAAGTGCAGAGAGTATCAAACAAGATGAACCCAATAGGCCCACACCAAGACACATCATAATTAAAGTGCCAGAAGTTAAAGACAGCATCTTAAAAGTAGCAGTTAGTTACCTACAAGGGAGCTCCCATAAGACTGTCAGCTGATTTCTCAACAGAAACTTTGTAGGCTAGAAAGAATTGCCAAAAAAAATATTCAAAATGATGAAAAGAAAGGAACTACAACCAAGATTGCATTACCTTGCAAAGCTGTCATTTAGAATTGAACGATAGATAAAGAGCTTTCCAGACAAGAAAAAGCTAAAGGAGTTCATCACCACCAAACCAGTATTACATGCAATGTTCAAGGGTCTTCTTTAAGAAGTAGAAGGAAAAAGATTAAAAATATGAATAATAAATACACATCTATCAACAATTGAATCTAATAAAATAAGCAAGCAGAACAGAAACAGACTCATAGTTAACATTTTGATGGTTGCCAGATGGGAGGGGGGTTGGGAATGAATGAGCA